AGTTGTCAAAACAGTTCTAATTGTAGCTTGTTTCACAACAGTACTAAATGTCTTTTTATAATCTAACATATGTAATTGAGTATAACCTTTTAGTAACAAGCTGAGCTTTAAATCTATCAATGGACCCATCTGCCTTCTTTTAACTTGAAATACACATTTATAACCCACTGGATTGTAGTTTTTAATAGATGGGACCAATTTCCATGTGACATGCCTCGTGAAGACAGTGAGTTCATCTGGCAGAGCATTACGCCACTAGAGATCAGATATTGCTTGACTTCAAAAGTTGGTTCAATGGTGGGTTGGATAAGATGTTGATCAAATAAACTTGTTTGGATTTGTATATGTGGTTTTGGGGTCGGGTAGTCATCAAATGGGTTCTTTGTCGTAGTTTAGAGGTGGTTTTGTCTAGACATGAACAAAAGTGTTTGGGATAAGGCGGTATGGTTGGTGTACCTGATGAGATGACCTCAGAGTGGTGCTGGGTTGTTGAGTTAGTGCAGGATATATGTGGGGTTGATTGACCTAAAGTGGAAACAAAGAGCACAAGAGAGTTACCTGAAGATGATGTAGAAGCAGTAACAACATGGTCCAAAAACACTAGCGATGGAGATACTGGTGAAGGTTACAAAGCATTCTAAATAGACGGTTGGCACTTGCTCTGTTTGGTGTGCGACTGGATCAAGCCTTGGCTCACATCATGTATAGAGACACATAACCTATTGGTTTTGAAATCTAGACACTTATATTCATTTTGTGTTTGAGAATAGCTAAGGAATAAGTAGGGAACAAATTTGAGCGGGAGGTTATGGGTATTGTAGGGCTTGGTGAATGAAAAACAAAAGTAACCAAAATTTTTAAATTTGAGATATTAAGGACGCTGGCCAAATAATGCTTTATATGGAGATTTGTTCTTTAACAAGGGTATGGGTTGATGATTTATGAGATATGTGGTAGTATGGAAGGCATCAAGCCAATAAAAGAGGGGCAATGATGCATCATGTAGTAAGGTGATACCTGTTTCCACCAAGTGATCTGACGACATTTAAGGATCCTATTTTGCTGTGGTGTATGAGATGCTATGGTATAGTGGCTAATTCCATGAATTGAGACATTGTTTTAAGGAAAGGAATTTACCACTATTATTAGATTAAATACTTTTTACTGTGGTTTGAAATCTATTTTCAACAATTTTTTTGAATTGTGGAAAGATACTACTTCCCACAATTGAACCATCGAGACCCACAGAGATAGAGGCCCCCAAATGTCAATGTAGATTGGATCAATGGAGTATGACTTTGAAGACTAGATGAACAAAATGGTTGTTTATGCACCTTATTAATTGAGCAAGAAGTACATAGATGATACAATCGCTCTTTTGTTATTGAAAGTGAAAATAAATTAACTAAATTTTGAATAGTTTTGAGAGATGGATGTTCAAATGCTTGTGCCACCGATTAATTGAGATCTACTCATACACATTTGCAATCATTTTTTATGAATCTACCAATGAGTCAGGAAGTGTGTAAACACCGTTTCACATACACCACCGAGCATGGTCGCACCCGTGATCTAATCCTTTAAAAAGAAATAAAAGGGTGAAACTCAAGAAAAACTTTATTTTGAGATGTAAAATGTTCCAAGTATCTGCAAAAATTTGATTTCTGCCCATTAGAGTGTTCGATCTAAATGGAAAGTACGATGAGGTGTTTGAAATACCAAGGAACCGATATGGGAGACTTACAAACCTAATAAGTCACCAATGACAACCTTTTATGTCCCATTATACTCAGAATGGATGGATAGATTTACCAAATCACTAGTAATGTTATATGATGCCACAAAATCAATGAGCCATTTATTGTCTTTGGTGCGAGAAACAAAGGCACAATTTATGGTGATATCAGAAGGATACAACCGCAGACAATTTTTTGCAGTGTGATCCAATTGATCACAAAATAGACATTTGGGCTGATAATGGTGTTGGGCCCAAATTAAAATGACCTGTGGAGTTTTGAAGCCTTTTATTATCACGATTATGGCCATTGTTGGGACGAGGTGGGCCTGAAGTTTGAAAAGGCCCATTGCTCTTATAAGAACCACGTTGCCAAGGTCTTCCACAAATTGCGAAAAGCAGAGCAATGTTGGATGAAGTTAGATGTGGCAACCAATTGCTGGGCGGTGGCATTGAGACAATGCACATAACTTTCATGGTTGATGAGGAGATCATGAAGTTCCTCAAAGGTTAATGAGTTCTTTCAAACATGAATAGGGATGGCAATTTCCCAAAAGTCGGCACACAAACAATGAAGAATGCAAAGGGTAAGTCCAGGGACGGACTCAGCCATTTTCTATTGTGGGGTCAAAAATTAAGAACGCTCAAATGAAACTCAAGTGCTACAAGGACGGGGGCTTCAGTCATTAGCGTTTGAGCGCCTTCTTTGGCCTTGCTTGGAGCCCCAAGTTTCTATCGTGGCAAATATCAACATGACATAGACTTGTGTTTTCGAAAAACTAAGGAAGAATAAACATAAAAAACTATAACTTGGCGAATAAATTGAAACAAGAAATTTGCAAAATTAAAAAATTCACCTGATAGGCGATAGCTTCCAATTACATGAATAACATCTTTGTCATTGCAACAAGCTTGTTGGATTTTTCACGTGAAAGAAGAATATTGTCATCTACGATATTTCCAAATATGTGATATCCAATGAATGCAACTACAAAATAACAAATGGCTAAAATAATATATGCAAATATTTGAGTTTAAACTCGTAGAAATATTTTATTAACAAAATATACTACACAATGGGATTACACACCCAATGTCTCTGCACAACTTTTTTCATACTGCCACTCCACTATCTCTCACATACATGATACACGACACATTCATATCACTTTCTTTCACTATTTCCTCAACTCTTTCTTCTCTCTCTACATACTGCTTTTCTCTTATCTCACCACAACTCACTCTATATTATATATTGGTAAATTCTCTCCACTCACTGCTTCTCTCAATTTTCTCTCACACAACTCTTTTATCACTCTTTCTCTTTCTCAGCTCATCTCCACAATGTCGATGGAATTTCCTTCTAGTTTCTTCCAACATGGCGGTAAAAATGGACTGAGATAGTCCTTTTCTGGATTGTTCGCAACTGCTTGAAAGAAAAAGGTTCAAGAAATGGGATACATTTTATATTTTTCTCTAGAATTTTCTTTAAGTTCTATGCTGTATCTTCAAATATTACTCCTTTCCACGTAAGCCTTTTTGAAGGTTTCTCAAGGCTCAGGAGTTGAAATAGTTGCCCCCAAAAGGAATTGGTGCCTGAATTTCTAGCATGACATTGTGTCTAACATAGCAAAAGCCACATCACCCAATGCATTGAAAAGTTAAATCTGGTTGTAGTCAAGACTCGTGGGCCGTAATTCTTGTTTGTCGGAGCTAAGATCAAGATGAAAAGGGTGAGCTTGATCTGACTGAAGGAAATGGGGAAAATTCAATGGGGTCATTTGACCCCACATGACCCCATGTGGATCCACCCCTGGGTGAGTCATCATTAGAATGGGATGATCGATGAGGGCAACCTCATATATAAAGGCTTTCATCATGTGTAGGTAATTGGGCATGGATCGATTGTCCCGACAAATCAAGGTAAGCTCTTCCTTTAATTGCATTGCTCGAGTTCGCGATTTACTCGCATGCATGGTGCTTAATTTATTCCAAGCTTCCTAGGATGTTTTGGCACCTGAGTGGAGAGTGCTGATGGTTGTGGTGGTAGAGGCCAAGATACCATTAAGGATAAGTTTATCTAGCCGGACCCAATGGATGTTTTAGTGGGCAAAAGTTGCGATGCCAATAGGGATGGGACATTGGTGGTCCAGAATGACATAGTCAAAGAGGTGATAGCCGATGAAGAGGGCTTCAAATTGGGCACGCCATTGTGGAAAGATTGAGGGTGTTAGCTTCTCATTAATCTGAGCAGAAATGTTGATAGTAATCAAAGGTTTATCAGTTGGAGAGGGTGGCTGGGTTTGGGGAGAGGATCGATTGCTTGCTAAAGCCTGCAAGCTCCGATGCTAGAATGAAATTGTAAGGTAAGTTTATTTTCTTAATGCTCAAGTTAACGAGGATTTTCTACACTTCCTTCATAAACTTGTACAGCTATATTTATACATTCTTTGGAATATATTTCTAGTATTAATGCTATTTCTGTGACTCATTTCAATTGCTTCCACTTGAAAGCAGCAACCTTGATTTTGGCATAGGAGTCCAGCTTTGATTTGTGCAGCTTGCTTCATTTACTGGTGCTTGATACGTTCTAAGATTAGCCTTGATTTGAGCTTATAAATCATCTTCCTTGTCTTTGGCTTGAGTAAAGGAATTTTCCTTGATACCATCTAGCTCTTTGGACTTGGCATTTAAGGGTTGGGTCACTTCAAGCTTAGGCAATGTAACTCACTTTTACACCTCTATTGTTCATGTTTGCTACAAAAATATTTGTAGTTGTTTATCATTCCATCACGACAAAACTGAACTTATTAAGGCCTTGTTTGAGCACCATTTTTTAGGAGAAAATGAATTTTTGAATAGTGTATTGATGAGAAATGTGTGGTTAAAAAATAAGTAAAAGTTTTGGATTTACATATAATATTATTTTATTTTAGAATGTGTGGTTGAAATGATGTTAAAACACTGTTTAAGAATGTATTTTTTTTTTTTTAAAGAATGTGGTTCAAACAAGGACTAATAATGGTTGCAGACAAGTTTTTTTTTTTTTTTTTTTTTTTCACACTTTCTTTTAGCTATTCTATTTTTATAGTGACTATCAAAAAGATTACGCCCTATGTAATTTGGTCACTCATAAAAACAAGACGTTCAGCTTCCTAAAACACTATGTACTATTTTGCAAGTTATAGATCGTCCTAAATAATCCAAAACATATTTAGATCTCTAACATGTAAGAAATATTTATTTAATGTCGTATAAAATGAGATTTTAATGGATATCATGATGGTAAGTTCTATAGTCAATTTTAAATTTATAGACCAAAAAGACGGAATTGCATTAAAGAAATTACATGGATAACACCAAACTTTGACGTGAACGACGTAGCCTGTAGTTGTAAAAGGATAGAGGTTTAATTGATTTCTTGAAAAACGATTGGGGACAATGCATTATTAACCTTAAATATAAGGGGGAAGTTGCAATACTGTAAGTCAACCCTTCCGTTTCAATGGAAAACACAACGGTCAACAATTCATCTTCTGATCAATCAATCATGGATTCAGTTTTTCCATAGAACACTTCAAAATTCTATCCCAAATTCGATACTGATACGCAAATTTTCAATAACAATACACGAAAATAAAGAAATACCCAATTGAAGAACCAGAAAAATTCTGCACATACGCACAACAAAATCAAAACAGTAAGAGAAAATGGCATCATTGGCAACCCATTTAACAGCCTCCCTTTTCCTATTCCCACTTGGAATTCGCCGTCTGCTTTGCTCTTTTTCTCTGTATCTTAATAACCCATCTATTTACAGATCTAGATCATGGTATTTTTCGGAGCCCAAGTGGAAAAACTTAGATTTCTACACTCTTATTGTAGTCCTTCCATTTGCATCATTCTCCCACATTTTCTTCTTTTTTGTGTTTCCAGGCCAATCCCCTTACAGATTTTCGTTCCTACAACAATCTCTTGTCATTTTTGTCTTCTGGGCACTCTTGATTTTGATCATTTTGAAAGAAAGTTTGGATCTTTCTGTTGTTTCCGAGAATTTTGTGTTCATATTTGCTGGCATTGCATTTGTGATTGAGTTTTACTTGAACGGGGATGGAATTGTAGGGCTTGGTGGTGCTGCATATGGAATATTGGGAGGTTTGGCTCTCTTTTGCGCTGCATGTTGCCTGTATTTGTCGGTTAGACCATCGGCATTTTTTGCTGATTTTTTGTTGTCTTCTGGTCTTGTTTTGAAAGGGACTTGGGTTCTGCAAGTGGGATTATCATTATACACAGATGCATTCGGTTTGAAAGGGTGTTCTAAGATTTCTGGGGTGGCCCCGACTAATGGGAAGTCTAATGTCCAGTGTGAGCTTGAGGAGGATAGATTGAGGGGTGTGGCATTGATGAATTTTTTGTTTGTTGGACATGTTACAGTGGTGATGATTACGAGCTTTCTGTTGTTTGGATTGTTGCATTGTAATAGGAATTTGAGGTGTGGTGAGTCTAGCGGTCCATTGCTGGCTGAGATTGGATCAGAGGGAATGTTGATGCATCCGCTTCCTGAATTTGAAATGGAATGAGAAGTTTTGTTGCTGTTCTGAGATCTGGTACAAAACATTCATGTGGATTGAGTTGTTAAAAGCTAATTCATTTCTGTGGTCAGATTGCTTTAAACTTTTTCTTTGTTTTTATACTCAGGACGTACATTTTGGGAATAGAAAATTTTATTTATTGCTTTAAGGCAATAGTTTCTAGCATTCTTTCTTGACTTCGTGCTGCTATATCTTCAGTATATTATTCCTTAGCAAGAGCTTGTGCTATGCTGTCAATGTTAACTGACTTGAACCAGATTGAAGGCACACGATATCCTTGGAGCAGTGGTACTTCATTCATGATATGCTAATGGTGGTTACTACGCAACTGCCATTTTCTTCCTTTTAAAGGGACATATTTAGTTGTAAACTACTGGTCTCAAGTGGCATATAATCAGCTCATATAATAATTATAGACTTGTCTCAAACTAGGTTGGTTCATGTGATATCTTTGACTGGACGGCAGATGCAGTAATGCTGATTTAGGAGTGTTGTATTTGAATACAATGAACAGATTCTAGTAGAAATGTTTAGTTAAATATGAGTCATTGATACAATTCATGACTGGAATCAACTAAAAGAATCAGATAGGGATGAACATTTTGTTCTCTGTTTCTTATTTCTTGTTTCCTTTTTGAGTTTATAGCCGGGAGCAAAAGGTGGCTCTTTGGCACAGAAAAAGTTGTCGCCTTGCCTGGTTGATTGCATTATCCAATTGCAGAAAGTCTTTCTGAAATTTTGCCTCGTTAGAGTCTTTGTTGCTATAAAAGTGAATCACTGTTTTCTGTTATGCAATGTATAACTGTTTTCTATGTTCCAATTCTTAAGGCAACGCGTAAGACAAGGAACTCACTGTTCATTGAAAAATGCTTTAGCAAACTTGGATTTAATTGGTAACATATGCATGGATGTAACGTCTTATAATCAAATATTATAAAATGTCTCCAGGAGAAAACTGAAACATCTCATAGAGAGGGTGAAAAGTGAAACTCTCTTCTCCCAGTCAATATTTTTGCTTGCATCACAGGAATAGGGGGTAAGTTGAATCACCTAGGTTTATTAGTATATTCTTTTTTATGATGGAAAATTTTGGGTTCTGTTTATTTAATTATTTTGTGTTCTGGATATAAATACTTTAATCATTGCACTTGTTTGTTATAGGCAGAAAACTATTTCTTACTTTCATTATTGCACTTGATATAGGCAGTAAACAATTTCCATCAGTATGTTGCTTGTGGAGTGATGGAATAACTAGTGAGGAGATATGAGTTGAGCTTGTATCTTCCATCAAACATATTGATTTAATTGAAGACAACTGTTTTACTTCAGTTTTGTATACCTTGTAACTGAAGAAAATTTGGGCATTGTTAACCATCATCTGTGGAAATGATTGAACCCGTGGATTTTTAATCTGGAATGAATTCACTTGAGCTTTTTGCTGAAATTACATCTTCTTCTGAGGATTTTGGGTTTTGAGAACCTTGCCAACTTCCTCACGTATTTAAATCCTGCATCAGAATATTCAACTTCATAATGGAAAAATTTATTGAGGGAAGAAAAAAGGACAGGCTAGAAAAACAATATTTGCCTGAACTGTGCCTACATGCAGAATTTATGCAGTAAATCGTTAGCTGTAAACACCCTCCCCAATTTATGCTGTAGCTGAGTCCCTTTATTAGAGTTGAAACTGCCCATTTCACTACAATCTTTAAATGCAAAATATTCCGCTCATACCTTGGACTTCATTCTTAATTTGTTCTTCTTCAATTCCTGCATTCTGCAAGATCTGTAAGTTGCCAGAAGAGCAGCCCATTAGATATAATTATTTTTGCAGTAATACGATCTCACATCAAAAAGGAGAGATGTAACCTCACATGCATGACCTCAGGTAGGGATTTGATTACCTCAACCAAGTTTCCAAGATGCATTCTCAGCCTCCGGTGTATAAAACCTCTAGTGCTCTGTTTAAGACTAAATGTTAGTTCCAGGATGCAAGCAACTCTAGTATTCTATAGCTTATGAATGTGCATTACCTTCACATGATATTTCACGAATGTATAGAATTTCAGTAGGTTCCACACAGTCTTGTCTAGTTTCTTGCCTTCCATGAGATGGAACGTAATATCTTGAAATGTCATGGTAACAGGACTTGGATAAGTTGAATCAAAAGCTTGGAAACATGGGGTAGAAAATGCTACGACTACTCATTGTTAATTTGTTGTACAAATAATGATAGTAACAATGTAATACCTAAAGAAAGAAATCCTCCATTGGTACTGAGATCTTCAATGGGTTCTCTTAACTCTGGAGGTGGTATCGGCAACCAGATGTAATGAGGCGCCTTAGCACATGCTCCAGTACTTCGAACAACCACAAGCTCCTGGGAGAAAATATTCAATTAATGAAATAGTAGGAATAATGTAATCTCGCGAATCTAGATAAGATTAAAAGTAATTCCTTCTTGAGAGAACCAAGAAAAAGCTTTCATTTTTTCCTTGTACAATTTAGCAATTCTTACCTGAAAGAAGGCTGTTGCAATAATCACATCTGCTTTTTCTTTTAAGCGCATTGGGAATACTGCAGTGATTTTTGCTGGCTGTCAAGATGTGGATTTGCTTGTAGTCAGGTGAGAGAAATGGTCTTCGAAGACTCTATAGATGTACCGAGATTGAGCAATTTATGGTTTGAAATTCACTGAATTGCCATCTGTTTCTATTATTGTTCTAAATTTTTCTTTGGTCTTTGTTACTGCTGTGGAACCTATTTAGTCAACAGTTGACAAAAATTACCTGTTTGATGACATAGAATAGCTCCCCTGGATGATAAATGAGTTTGATTGGTTTATACCTTCCCTGAGATATTTCCTGAGATTCAACATTCCTTAACATTTCTTTCAGCTGTGAGCTCAGTACTACGGCTTGAACCGAGGAAATTTCTGCAATAATCTTTGTTGAGACTGGAGAAAATAAGTTCCAACAAAATAAATCAGCGTCTAATATGTAGTCATTATTCTGCTCATATCAATCTTTGGCAACAAATTATATTATCTCAGACATAGGAAGATTTTGAGGATCATGATACAAATATTTTGAGTTCTTAGATATCATTTCAATGAAGTGAGTGTTGTTGCTTTTTGCTTTATTTATTTATTTATTTATTTTTTTTTTTTGTGTGTGTGTATCTATATTTTGTATTTTCCTCATGGGATAGAGTCTATGCCACCTCAAGGTCTCAGAATTTCAAACATTCCAGCAGTTTTACCTTCAAATTTCTAGAGAATCAGGACAAAATTTACTTTTGTATTTATGCGATGAGCCTTGCTGAATTACTTCAGGAAGTTACTTTTCACTAGATGATATAAGACTGAGCAGGGACAATTTTAGGGACGTTAACAATGATGAAGTTAAACTAACAGAGGCATATATATTTCTCCGTTTCATGATTC